CTGTAATGCCATTTTATTGCAAACCATTCACTCAAAAGCTATTATGAAAGTAACTAATCAAATTACTAAAAATTACTTAGATGGAAATCATTTGCTGAAAACTTGGTCCCCCCCAGTTCAAAAATCCTATCTGCGCCCCTGTCTGATTATGAAGGTAAACTAAATATCTGACAGTGATCATTACAGTGTGGCTATAATTCTTCACTTCACCATCTGTGTCGCAGTTTCCCATCTCCAAAATGAACGTACGCATGGGTCAGAGCTGGCGTGAGGCACCGCACATTTTCACGTCAAGCTTGGATTTTATAAATCATAACCTTGGCGTGAAAAGTGGTGTACGCAAGTTTTATAAATCCGACCCCAGAGGAAGTCTCATGATGTGCATTAGCAGCAGCAGCCTCAGAGGTCAGTGTGTGGGACCAGCAGAGACAGGTTTGAGTTGGTCTTCATGAAGCATCCATGTGTTTATGTGTCAGTTGTAATTCCTCCAGTTGTGGAAGCTAAAATCGTTCAAGTTTTCCTGTTCAGGCATAACGACTGCAGTGATGTGCTGTGATGTTTATATAAAATGTGAGAAGGACAGTCTGTGTCTCTGTTCCTGTTTTCCATCCCTCCATTCACTCTACTGATCCCTGTGTAGGTGTGTTTAAAAAGAAATGCAGCATAAAAACACTTCAGATGCTCTACATAGCTGTTGTCCTGAATAATTGAATGTGGTTTGAAAAATGCCATAAATGATCCACAATGATCTATTCTTGCACAATTCTTTAAATTATATTTTTATTATTAGTAGTTGTATGATGGGTAGTCAGTGTTAAATTTTGTTTTGTGTGTACTATCTATAGTTTGTAAAGTAACTAGTGTGTGAACTTCTGTACTGATGCTGCTGTGACACCTGAATTTCCCCTCTGCGGGACAATAAAGGCTATTTATTCAAACCTGGAGGAAACTATAAATCCAGTGCATTTGCAACATTAACTTTAAAACTCATGTTATTCACAGTGGAAGTTAGTTTATATGTTTAAACTAAGAGATGTACTCTTTTTGGGGAAAACTAGTTTTGAACTAAAGAAGAGCTGATTCATGAACATGAACAACTTTAAAGAGACTAAATCAAATGTTTTCAAATAGTTCCTTAGTTTCAACATCTTAACTTTATTTTATTGCCAATAAAATATGTTTTTATGAGGTTTGCAAATCATTGCTTTCTGTTGTTTTTGTTGTTGTATTTTACACAACATCACATCTTTTTTGTGATTTAGATTTTACTGTTAAAGCCACAGGCTCTGTTAAACAGCTGTGGTTCTGAAGCATCTGTTAGGGATCATGTCTGTAGATGTGGTTCTGACTTCACTGGATCAGGCTGGTGCTCCTGTTCAGGTCCTCTCTGTCTCTCTCTGTGTGTGTGTGTGTGTGTGTGTGTGTGTGTTTGTGTGTGTGTGGTAAAATGGGACTTGGCTCCTCAGCCTCACATTGTTTGTTGACTCAGAGCTTTTTATGTTGTGTCCATTCATCACTGTCTGATTGTTGGGGCTGGCCTGAGGTTTCCTGGCTCTTTGGACTGCATCGCTCTCGTTTGTTGGGAGACGACGGCGAGTGTTTGATGGTTCGACATGACACACGAGCAGATTTTCTGTTTCCCTGTGAAGCCGAGGCAGGAGGCCTGTGAGGGGAACCGGCTGTCTGTTTCTGCTTCTTTCAGCCTTCTCTGTCCACKTTTCAGAATCAGCACCACAAGATGAAGTCTGGAGTGTTTCAACATCAGGCTGGGTGTGTGTGAGAACAGTTCACCTCAGGTTCTTTAAGGAGGTCCAGCAGAAAACAGTTTCCAGTAGAGATGTTTTCCATTTTTAAGAAGAAAATCATATTGTTCTTTATAATTTAAAATCGTAGCATGTCTTGAAGGATTGACCTTCACCCACTGCTTTATAGGAATGTTTAAATAGATACTGATTAATGTGAAAGGACAGAGACATTTTGGTCAAACTGTCAGTTTTATGTTGTATCACATGTGATGTGTTGGTGCTCTGAGTGTGTGTTGTGAACGACTCCACTGCCGCACCAAATGTATCTGTGTCTGTAAAGCTGACTGAGTTATAGTTATTTTTGTGCTGGCTAAGGTTGATTAGCTGTGGTGGCCATCTTGAATTTGGTTGTTAGTTATAGATGGACATCCATTATGCTTCATTAAAGTTTATCCACTGGTTTATGAAATATTTTGTTCATACTACAGACAAACAGACACAGGCAAAAATATCATTGCCCTTTGGCTTTTGGTGGTGGGTGATATCAGTACATACCTTTTTCTGCTGCCTGAGGCACAACTACACTGCCTGGCCAAAAAAAACAGTTGCCACCATAAAAAAGTCGCACACTCTGATCTTTTCTTGGACCACCTTTAGATTTCATTACAGCCCACATTTTCTGTTCTACTGTTTTGATAAGCTCCTGCAATGTCACCAGATTTATTTCCATCCAGTGTTGCATTAATTCTTCACCAAGATCTTTCATTGATGATGTAGAGTCTGACCTTCTCCAGCACCTCCCAAAGATTCTCAATGGACTCTGTGGAGCCAATCCATGTGTGAAAATGATGTCTCATGCTTCCTGAACCACTCTTTCACAATAAGAGCCTGATGAATCCTGGCATTGCCATCTTGGAATATGTCCATGCCATCAGGGAAGAAGCAAGCCATTGATGGAATAACCTGGTCATTCAGTATATTCAGGTAGTCAGCCGACCTCATTCTTTGAGCTCATACTGTTGCTGAACCTAGACCTGACTAGGGTTGGGCATAATCGTATTGCGTGCAATTAATCGTCAGAAAGATAATCGATTACTTTTTGGCACTTGACGATTAATATGTTTAATGCCAGCAGGCGGACTGACTGAAGATTTCTCCAGTCAGTCCGCTCGGTGCTCCTCTCTGCTTCAAATATGATAAACATTTTAAAAAGGTTCTGTAATTTATTTTCTATCAACACAATTTAAAAATTGATGTATAGCCTGAAGTCTGTAATTTTGACACAATTTGGAACAGATTTTTACGAAGAGCAAATTTTCCCACTAAATTAGTCATGTGACCAGGACATGAGGGTGTCCAGGGACTCCAGGGGATTAATCGTCAAATTAATCGTTATCGGCTAAATACCACAATTAATCGTGATTAATTTTTTTTGCCAATATTGCCCAACCCTAGACCTGACTAACTTGCAGCAACTCCACACCACTGACCTGAGTTACCGGTACATCCAGGTGGACACTTGGTTTTGGGCTGGGCAGTGTATAAAGGCTACTGAATTTATGGTTGCAGTTTAAAGGGGACATATCCTGCAAAATCCACTTTTTTAGCTGTTCAATACATTTAGTTGTGTACTCAGAGTTTCTAGAAGTGCAGAAAGGTTTAATTTAGTCTCTCCCAGTGCTGCAGTGATATCTTAATATGCTGTATGGATCAGATAGTTTAGTTTTCTCTGTTTTCTGTTTCTGAACTATCACATCCAATTATTTAAATTGGAACTTCTAAATAAGATCTGGACTTACCGACTAACAGATTTCATTGTCTTTGTTCTCCTCTGGCTCTGGGTCAAATACTGGGTCAGACTCGGGGTTCCTGGGATTCAACAGATCCCAGGAACAACCTCAGAGATCTGTCCAATAGAGCCCAGTCCAATGAACTGTTAGGATACTGAACATAGCCCTCTAACTCCCAGACCTCTGGTAGAGGACCTGAGTTTGCACATGAGTGGAACTGTTACTTTGAAGTGCTTTATTGTTTATAAAATGTAGAAACAAACAAATACTCCGAATATTCACAAATTACTACTAATATTAAATATGTAAAATGGCAACAATTATGAAGGTAAAGTATGTACAGTATACTGTACAGCACTGTCACTGTGTATCTGAGGAAATCTTGACCAACTTAGAATCATTTGTTTGTCGACGCTGCTCCTCTGTGCTCATGATCAAACCTGAAGATTCTGTGCCTGACATGAAACAGAACTCTGCAGGTTTCACAGAAACCAGTTTCAGCTTTCACAGTTTCCTCATTCTTCAGCCATCGTTACTTCATAGCATAAAAGCAAATACCTGCTTTATTGAAGCATTATTTCCAAACATGCAGATTTATTTGCTACAAGTTCTATGCATGCAAATGTGAAAACCATGCAGAGCAGACCACCTGCAATAAAACTATTTAACAGTATAACTTGAAAGTATTTTCTGCAAAAAATGACTTTAAATGTTGTAAATGTATTGTTGTCCTGTGTCTGAGACCAACAGTTGACTTTAATTTTCAGAGTTGGCAGCAGTTTCCTGGTTGGTTACAGCGTGAATTATTACAAAGTTGCAGGTGAACATTTGAAACCGAGCCACAGACCTCATGCAAGCATTGGCATGTCAAGATGATGATTCAGTGTGAAGATGTTTGTTTTACTGGCTCAATGTAAGACGTATGTCATCATCAGTGCTGCTGTAAAACCTCTTTAGCGCTATCTTGAAAATAGAGGAAGTAATTCCTCAGCGATGATGTTATTGGAATTCCTGCATAATAAATCTTCAATTTAAAGATAACTCCAGCAGGAAAGACCGCTCAGACAAACATAACCTACCTGTGATCCAGTGCTGAGTGTGTAAAACCCAATCCTCTCACTGTGCTCTCATCAACAGTTTCAGCTCTTATTTATGAAAGTCTGAACAATTGTACTTTGGGGTAAAAAGGTAATTGTACAGTTTATGTGTTTCCAGTGGGAATTCTGCTCCGGGCTGCCTTGTAAAAATGTTCTTAGCTGAAATTAATCAGGAAGACATTTATAGAACAACTTCCATGACAGTGTCTGCAGTTCAGTGAAAAAATTACAAGTTATCAGTTATCAGRTTTACAGTCATAAGGAAAGGCCTGTTTCAGGTCAAGGCTTTAATATATCAGCAAATGAAACTAGATACCGCACAGCAGTATCATATATGTCCCTCGCACCTACGCAGGGCACAAATGTACCAGAAGTCAGAAATCACCACAACGCATTTATTGTTTTGGATGGGGGTCCGGAGGGGTTGGGGGGTGATCATTGGTGGGCTGATGAATAGGTCTGTATCGGAGCTAAACAATAAAAATAAAAATCTGAAGCTCTGATGTTAAATAATGTTTTTTGTTATTTAACATCAGAGCTTCAGATTCAATGTTATTTTTTAGTTATTGCTTATTTGTGTGTCCAGACACCCCCTTTTCAGATGGAGCCCCCTCCTCAAAAATGGGGTCTATCATAAAACCTTTGGCTGGAGCAGTGTAGGTCGAACTCATCTACATTCCTGCCAAATTTCATGTTGATCAGTGCAGCTGTTTCTGTGCTACAGTTGACCAAAATCTCTGAAAAATAAATAAATAAAATAATAAAATAAAAAGTACGAAAATCGTATTATTATTAGTTCCACTATTTATATTATTATTTAATATTATTATCATTTATATTATTATGACCCCTGATTCGTATGTGGGGGCTCATAATAATTTTTACAGCCAGCAGAATGACTTCAAATGAGGTTTTTTTGTCTGACTAATATCAATACATTCTTAATTAAACTGTTTTGGCTGCAGTAGGCTYCTTTAGAAACCTGTCCACAGCCTGTAACAGGAGAGAGGATAAATGGAGGGGTAGTTTTACCATAGAGACAAAAAATACAAAAAGTTTCTTTTTGTCTGGGAAAGTGAAAAACACACAAATACTGGGTGTAGAAAACATAATATCTGAATAAACTGGCCTGTCTGAAAACTTGGTAAGAGCTGAATTWTTTTTTTACTCAATTAGCCCTAAAGCCTCATGTCAGGAGGATGTTTTAAAGGTTACCTTGATGTGTAGAATCTGGACTGTCATCTGGAATACTCATATCAAGACAGGAAAGTTCTTTTTAAAGCAAACTAAAGAAAAATGGAGCTTTTGAATTATTGTTCCATATGCTGAAACCAATTTTTACCATTGAAGCCTTTGAAAACGTGTTTTCCACTACAGCATGCATCTTACTGCAACAACGTTTGATGATATAAATGACTTCAGTGGTTGTTGAGAAAAGTATGTCCCAGATTTTATTTTCCTCTTCTGAACTGGGCTGCAGAAATGAAGCACGTGATCAGTGTGAACAGGTAGACATATTTGTGTTGGCCTTTAGTACACAGGCTGTGAGGATTCTTTTATTTGTGAAAGTAGTTCTTAGTGTGTCTTTACTCAGCTCATCAGACATCAGAGTATGACCTAAAATGAACCGGGATTTTTGTGTTTAATTTGTTCTGCCGTCATTGTTGAGCAATCACAAACAAAACACTGTTGAAATATTTTGAAGACACCTTTTTCACACTTAGATTTTGAAATTTCAGTGTTACACATTTTCCATTAGATGATTTGTTTTTGTTTCTAGTGAAGTTATTGTAAATTTTTTTTATAGAAAATGTTGTTTTAAAAAGACAAGGGTTAATATTACAACTATGGACAACCAGAGAGGTTCCCTCACAGGATAGTTTAAAAAGAAAACAAGTATTAGTACAGCTGCTTCCACTGAAATCTGCCTGATGCTGCGTTCACACCGAACGCGATTTCAGCTTCAAAATCGCAGCCAACGCTGAAGTTTGAAGCTTGTGCACTTTGAGGTCAGACGCAGGWCAGYTSTTGAAGCGCTGCACAGCAACAGCCTCCCCGCCCCTCCCTCCTCTGTCGGGCTCTGTTTAATGTCGGACGAAGAAGTGACTTTGCTTTATTTACAGAGAGCCAGAGCATGTCACGTTCATCAGATAATTAATTCATAATTAATTCACCAGATAATTCAGAGTAGAGGCTCACAGCTCGCTTTCAGGASTATTTTTCCAGTCTGATGAGTCGCTGCCACGCATTGCTGCGGATCAGGACACGACTGCAGGCACTCATTTCAGCTGAAGAGCTCCTCTCCATCTGTTTCAGGTTAGTGGACATCATTCAGTAAACTGTCCCGTCAGGAAATATGTCGCTACGTCACACAGTGGAGTCTCTCTGATTGGTTGACGCTGCGCGTCGAGCTGCAAAAGTTAAGATTTTCTAACTTCAGCGATTTGCGCCTCAGCGCGTCGAACGCTCAGATCGTCCAAATCGTTCAAATCGTGCTGCTCCAATCKCKCTTGAGGCGCCGCAGAACTTCCCGACGTTGCTTGAAGCGCATCCACCATAGACTTTGAATGGAAACCTGATGCTCCTGATGCTGAAATCGCGTTCGGTGTGAACGCACCATTACACCTGTGGCCAATTAAAACAAGTTTCATTGTCATAAAGTTTTCTGCCTTAGATTTAATGAAGTATATTTGCATAAACTCCATGTAATGTTTGAAGGGTGATCAGATAAATTGCAGTCAATTGAAAGTCCCTCTTTGCCATGATCTTAATCTCCAAAACCAATTTCACTGCATTTGATTTTATGAGCAATCCTCTTATACAGGTGAGGATGTTGAAAAGGACAAGGCTGGAGAGCCGCCTGGCATGCTGACTGACTGTTATAATAACAGAATGGACACTTTGTAAGGAGGGTGGTGATAGAAATTGGTTTTCATCTTCCTGTAACATAAACCATGCAGTCACCAATGCTTTGCACAAAAAGGCTTCATGAGCAAAATTATTGCTGCTAGTTAGTTTGCATTTTTACCAACCATTTATTGGAATATCAGGATTTTTTTAGAGTAGTAGTTGTAAAGTAGAGTTCAGGCTGTCCAAGAAAGTCCAGCAAGATCCAAACTGTCTTCTAAAGTTGATTCAGCTGCAGGATCAGGATGCTTCCAGTGCATAGGGCTGAACGGCTGAGTGCATCTGCTCGCTCAGTGAGGTCAAGACTTTTAGAGGATGGGCTAATGTCAAGAAGAGCAGCCAAGAAGCAACTTCTCTCCAAGAAAAACATCACAGACAGACTGGTGTTCCACAAAGGTCCACATCTTGGTTTGCTGAGGACTGCGGGGAAAGTCATTTTCTTTGATAGATCCTCATCCTGATTGTTTAAAACATCTGGAAAGAAGTTTTGTGTCATGTCAACAGTAAAGCATTCTAAGATCGCTCTTGTGCTGCTCAGTCAAAGTAAAACTATAGGAGCACCTCATGAGTAAATAATGGTCACTAAACATATCCTGAGAGTAACATCTCCTAACCTTCTCAGAATAGTTTAGTGATGAAAAATACCTAAAAATCACTCTCAAATTTACAAGATAAAAGTCAATATCAGACACCTGTCTTCTCACAACAAACATTTTACTCTACACCTTTCACTGCCCTACTTTTAACAATGCAATCAAGACACTTTGTCCTCTGGTCCAAATTTGGACTGTAAACTGTACCTCATGGTACAGAGGCTAACCTGTAACTCATCGAGACAGGATAACATGTACCTCATTGTACACAGGATAACATGTACCTCATTGTACACAGGATAACNCTCATTGTACACAGGATAACATGTACCTCATTGTACACAGGATAACATATACCTCATTGTACACAGGATAACATGTTTGTTTTGATTTTTCATGGTGCCTTCCTTTCACTTCCCTTCACTCAGACCCTTTTGATTTATTTACAGATGATGTGTCGGCAGATGGCAGTGCTGATTATCCGGACCGAGCCTCCATGATGGAGGTGCGTCTGCAGGCGCAGGAGGATGAGATCACACTGCTGAAAGCCTCGCTGGCTGATGCCCTGCGTAGGATTCGTATCCACGATCAGCTCCTCCCATTACTGAAGCAGCAGCTGATATCAAGTGGGTGTTGACCACAAACATTAGAGAAGAAAAAATTACAGACTGGCTTAGAGCACATATCTGGTCAATTTCTTGTCTGTTGAAAAGTAATGGTTTGGGGTTAGTTTTCTGGACTGAATGAGTAATTACCACAGGCATGTAACAACACCTTCTGCCTTCAGTGAACCCGAGTGCTGCCCGGATGCTGAACCAGGTGTGTTGCTCAGATGGTTGCAGCCAAAGCAGAAAACCCTCTTCAAGCTCAGCCAGTGATGGGACTCGCCACCCTGCAGTCTCTGCTAGGTGATTTACATTACATCCAACACAACACAGCTACAACAGGTCCACATTTATGTTTAGTGTACAAAACTCTCTAAAAGTACAAATCCCCTGCAAATTTACTAACTTTACAACTCAATCTTTTTGGTAATGTAAAATAATGTCAGATACTGTTAGAACAGCAGCCTTTCTGACAGAGATGACAATGAAAATATTTTTACTGCATCTGGCACAGCTTTGAGTGTTGGGTCTGGTTCTGTTGTCTTTAAGTCATGAAGCCAGCATCTCACTAAGCTGCATGGAACTATGAAAGGTGTTTGTGAGGGACTTTCCCAAAAGTCTGGAGACGTATGTCTTCAACGTTTATGTGCATCTCAGGGCCGTGCATCTGAGGCACATCGATGTTTTAAAAAGCAAGATGAATATTGTTTTAAGCTGCAACCTGAGAGGAACACTTCTCATTTTCATTTCTGTAATTTTTTAGAACTACAGCTGTATTTTTTGTGAATTGCCACCTGTTTATTTATTTTTTTGCTACCTAATGGAAACGTGTTTAAAACTTGATTAAATCTGTTGTTTAAACTTGCAAAATGAAAGAGTCCTCACATGGAGGAGTCCAAGTATCGGCTAAACCTTAAATAGCAGAAAAAAAATGGATGGACTGGTGGTTGGTGAGGAATCTGACTTTACCAGTTGGTATTCCAGTTGATTGTTTTTAATTATTTTTAATTGAAACCTCTGACAACAAATAAAATGGACAGTCAGACTGCATTAAACAGACTCTGCCAGGGTCACATCTTCCCGTAGCAGCAACATTTGGAAATGAAAAAGGGGTATTTATATTTTGGAGTGTTCTGTACTGTTCATATAGACACATACAGCGGGTAAAATAAGTATTGAACACGTCACCTTTTTTCTCAGTAAATATATTACTAGAGGTGCTAATGACATGAAATTTTCACCAGATGTCAGTAACAACCCAAGTGATCCATACATACAAAGAAATCAAACCATAAATGTCCAGAAATGAAGTTATTTGTAATAATGTGGAATGGCACAGGGAAAAAGTATTGAACACATGAAGAAAGGGAGGTGTAAAAAAGGCATGTAAAGCCAAGACACCATGCAGCTGAACTCTCTCATTAATTAGAAAGCAAGCCTGCCCCTTGTCAGTGCAAGTT